TTGCCAACTTCAACTTTTGAGAAGATGGTATACAAGATTGGAATGCGGAGACTCAAATATTTGAAACAAGGTTTTCATCAGGGGGAGTAAAATACGCGATGCACTCTTTTTCCCTTACTAAGGTTTTTTCCATGGGGTTTTCCTTATAAGGTTTTTAATGAGGCACCTAGCAATGCGTCTTACTAAATATGTATACTTTTTTTCCTTCACTGGGATTTTTCCCACGTGGTTTTTCCTAGTAATGTTTTAATTAGGCACATTATCTTTTAATGAACATCCAAGGGGGAGTGTTATAAATATATTATATTATGGATGTTCATTTAGTACTCCGTTGTAAATAAGCTTCCTGAAGAAGCTTATCCATATGGGACTCCACCGTAAATATGTTTATCTATTTAGTACTATATTGGAAATAAGCTTCCTGAAGAAGCTTATCACTTCGGTACCCGGTTATGGATAAACATTACCCCCAGTAGAAGTTTATCCATATCGGGTATAATAAGCTTATCTTTTCAGTACCCAGTTATGGATAAACATTACCCCCGGTAGAAGATTATCCATACCGGGTATAATAAGCTTATCCTTTCAGTTCCCAGTTATGGATAAACATTATCCCCGATAGAAGATTATCGATACAGGGTATAATAAGCTTATCCTTTCAGTACCCAGTTATGGATAAACATTACCCCGATAGAAGATTATCCATACCGGGTATAATAAACTTATCTTTTCAGTACTCCATTATGGATAAACATTGCTCTCAGTAGAAGATTATCCATATCTGGTATAGTAGCAGCTTACACAACAGCTTCCTTTCTTCTATAAATAGAAGAGATTTCAGTTCATTATGTACATCAGTTTGAATTCGAATAATATATCAGTTTCTCTCTATAGTTGTCTTTATTTTATAACAATTGTAATATTATGCACTATAACTAATCATTTTTTCCATTATGCGGTCAATGGACAGAGACGGCAAACTTCGATTTGTCTGGTCTCTTGTTTGAATGTACAAACTTTTTCAGGTACTTCATTTGATTTTTTTACAAGAACTGTTAATTGATGAGGTGATTCATTTAAAAAAAGGATAAAGGTAAGACCAAATTACGAAACGGTGTTCATATGAAAAGAATGTATGATCACACTTTGAATCCAGTATTGTGATGTCGTTACAAGGGTCGTTGGAGTTGCTTCTTTGGAATCCTCGAGTTTGGGCATGCTTACGGCTTGAGCCTAGACTCACAACTCATCCCCAAGAGAGGAAGTTGGCAAGTATCACTACAACAAATTTGGCCTAAGGCCACATTAATTGTTTACCACGCTTGAAACACGATAAGTGTTGTCTTTGAAAAGAACTTTTGGCTACGATTTATTAGGTGACGGTTATAAAGCGCTCCTAGTATTACTATAGACTACACTTTTTAAGTATTGCCAAATCATAAAATTATTGGCAATATTTATTCGTATGTGACGCAACGCTTTCTGAGCGTGCTTGTTATTTTTTGTAAAGGCAACTCCACACGAGCATGCTCTTAAAAAAATTCTAAAAGTCCCCGCTACAATTTCCCCCCAAAATTTTGCTGGAAACCTATGCCGTAAAATATTTCCCTAAAATCAATCTTTCTGGTTTTACCCACACTAGAAGAAAATCTCCTCGTTCTTCTTCCCTAAAATTCCATAAGCAAAGTTGAGGGCACTTCTTATATCTTTTAGCAAATTGAGTAAAGCAGAGTAGAGTGGGTTGAAATATTTCCATTGGATTATGTGAAAATCAAATTCAAATGGAGATTTCATTATTTAGGGCTTGCAGTCGCTTCAAAAATCTTGGATAAGATGACTGTCAATTTTAAGGTTAAGCTCTATTAGTTTGTGATGGAAGTTTATTATTCTTGATAGGAGAATACTTTTTATTTTCTATTGTCCTACTGTTTCCTCCATTTCCCCCATCTCCCTCTGTGCTTATCAAAAGTTCATCTTTGTTCTTGCCCGCTTAGTCGATTGGCTGCCTCTCCAATTTTTTTTGCTGTGAATTTCATTAGTGGTGGTTTCAATTTCTGTTTTCTTGAATTCTACAGGTATTATACTGCATTTTTTATACTTTTGACTTTTTCATCAAAAGTAGCTTTAATTATGCCTTGTTCGATTCTTGTTTGCACTTTTCCTATTTGTCTAATTTCTTGTTTTTGAGGTTTAATTACAAGTTACTAAAGCTACCTGCTATTAATCAGTCTACCTTCCTTTCCTTCTTTCTTCTTTATGATCAAATTTTACTTGAATATTGTACGTATGCTTCAAAAGAAGATAAATTCTATAGAGGAACT